AGGGTCTATCTCTCCGCCTCCACTCTGGACTCCCCCCTCTTCTTCCAGCTGCCCGGCCATGAGCAGCCCTCCTCTGCCGTGCTGTCCAGCCATACAGCCAGCTGGGAATATGGACTGAAGCTTCCACAAACTCTGAGCCAAAAGAAACTTCCTTTTTAGAGCTGTGTGTCAGGTATTGTGTTTCGGCAACAGGAAAGTAAGTAAGACACTGGCATCTTGTGAAATTAGCATCCTTAGAATAACTGATTCCAAAATGGGAAACGATGCGATATCAGCACTCTGATGGTTAGCAGAGTCAAGGAGCAATGCCAGGTCAGCTGGGTGTTACACGTTGACCATTAGTTAATCTGCCATAGGAACCTACTGTATGGTAAAGAAGATACCAGAATAGATATAGAGCACCATAGAGACAGAATGTGACAGTGGGTACAGGATAACTGATTTTACTGTGGACTCCATCACTTAGAAGTAGCTGTGGAATAGGCAGTCAATAGTTCAGATCCAGGGCCAGCTGAAGGACAATGCTCTACAGGTTTATCAAAACAGTAGTCCATATATGAGATTTTACTCCAAAAAGTTAGACAGTTACAGGAATTAACCATTTGAAGTATTAACTAATCTTCCCATCATTCCCATATTTTGTTTATTGACATATTTTGCTTATTTTGTGCTTCTCATCTCTGTAACCTCAGGTTTTGCTAGGTTCCTGGGTTCTCAGCAGTCAGAGAAGGGAGGTACTTTTTTTCCCAGTACAGACATTGGAAGGCTCCTACTGAACTTGAATTTCCAGATCTCCAATTGCTACCTGGTTATTTGACTTCATGCCAGTAGACCAGCAGGAAAATAAATACATTATTATACTTGTGATGGGTTAATGAACTAACATTGCTGCTGCACGGTAGAGGTCAACAGAGCAACTCAGGATGGACACTTCCTTCAGTTCATACTGTGAAATATCTTGGCAGAACCTTGGAGTGAAGAGAGTCTGTTCCATAAGGTTCTTTCCCCTGTGATGTCACCTTCAGATGCAACTTTATCATGCACTAGAGTGGCTCCTTCTCCTGAGCACATAGGCAGGAAAGCAGGGTGTACTATTCTTCACTGTTACATGTAAGCAGTTAGGCAGGGTTAGGATTGGGAAGGAAACTGAAGCTTAGTGATCCATACAATAATGAGCTGACTGATGATTCACGTAGGGGCAAGTTATCTGCTAATTTGTGCTGGAGCATTTCCAATGCTGGTAATTTTTTTTTACGGTAGCCTATTTTTAACTTCCATCAGGTTTGACAGTTATGTTTTTCTGTATATTGAAGCAATCTTTTTCTGTAGTAAAATTTTAGCTACCTACTTGTGATTATTCAGTTCATTAGGACATTATCTGACCTTTGTACTTATCACTCAGTAAGTCTCAGAAAATCGCCTTCTTCTCTACCATCACTAACAGCTCCACTTCTAACATTACTACACTGGGGACCAAGCACATGAACGAGTCAACTCATGAATCTTCTGGGGACATTTCATACCTACACTGTAACACACAGTTATCTCTGCTTCAGTCTAAGCTTCTCAGAGGTTTTCTATGAGAGTTTAAAACTACTTAAGTCACACAAAATATTTTATTTCCAAAGTGGTTTTACTCTGCTTTCTAAATTTGAAATATGAAGATTATAATAATTATAAACCAGATGCATTAATGTTACTGTCTCCCCATTAAAATTTTTATTTTTAGAAAAAGATGCACATAGATGAAAGAACCAAATACTTCTTCAAAGTTAGTTGACAAAAATGGCACTTTTCCAGTTCTCTTTCCTTTTCCCATCTCAGAAGTACCCACACTATTTAGCTATTAATTATTTTGGTATTTTCTTGATCTTTCTAAAGAACATATTCATACCTCATGTTCTGATATTCAGTGTTTACATGATTAGGACTATATAACTTACTTACAGATGAACTATACATTATAATGTATAATATGGCACTCCCCTTCCGTGTACAATTTTTGTTTCCTTTTATCAGTAATTTTCTTATTCCATATTTGGTTATTCTTGCATGCGCTTGTCATTGACTCAATCGTTGCTGAATGTTTACATCTCTTCTACAAGATGTTCAGCTGTCAAGCATCAGGTTCATTTCACACCATGGAAGAGATCTCTCCCAGTGCCCCGCCTACTCCCTATGTGTACAACATTAGCTTACGGTCTCCTCCAGCCTTTTAGTAATCTTTTTTTTTCTTTTTCTCCTGTGTTGCTATCTCCATTTGATGTAGTTTTTAAAATCTATTTTCTTACTTTACGTTCTTGTTTGAGGCTGTGCATTATCCTTTTTCTCTTTGAAGTTTTACCTACTAAAGTGGCATTTATTAATAAACTTCACTATTGTCAACCTCCAGTGTTGCTATGTGGGAATCCAAAACCAGCCGAACTTTTGGTCCTAGAATTGGACGTTTTCTACCAGGGAGGTTATAGACTCTCTTCTTTATTTGGTGTTCTGAAATGTCATAAACATATACTTCGGCAAGAGACGGTTTATCATGTGGAGCCCTCAGTGAATCCTTTCTGTCTGAAACTGAGGTCCTTGCATTTGGGGACATTTTTTGAATTATTTTCTTGGATTTTTTTTCCTGCCCTCCCTCTTTTGTGGAACTCTTAGTATTTATATTTTTGACCTGCAGGACTAGTTGTCTAATGTTGAACAGATCCATAGGACAAGGATAAGTGGTGTTTAATGCTTTTTCCACTCCTTTATTTTTTGGGGGGTGGGCAAGGGCCTCACTGTATAGTCCAGGCTAGCCTTAAACTTGCTGTGGAATCCATGTAGGCTTTAAGCCCATGATCCTCATACCTCAGCTTCCTGAGAGCTGGGATTATAGGCACCACTCCTAACTTGCTTTTTCTATCTTTTTTACTTTCTGTAATATTTCTCAGCTGTATCATTCAAACCTTTTGTTGACTTTTGCATTTCAGCTGTTAATTTCTCTAGTCTCCAGCAACTCATTTTTTTAGTACCGAGAATATTTTTCTGCTATCTGATCCTTTTGTTTTCATCATTCGTCTTCTGCATCTGTTAAGAACATTATGCAGTTTTTTAAAGTTTCTGGAAGTTTCCTCTCTGTGCGTGTGTCTATTTTTCATGTTGATAACTTTTCTCAGATATTTTATAATCTTGTAACCTGCTTGTCTGGGAGCTCTGAGTGCGCATGCAGTAGGGCAGAATGGTCCTGGGCTTCATTGTCGAGTGTCCTGGCTGGGTTGCTACCTAGGTACATCTGAGTGATGTCCTCTTGGATTTATCACATTCCCCAGAAGAAGCACCTTCACGTGCCCGCCTCGATGGCGAAGCCGTAGCTGCTGTGGGGATAGATTACAGGGAGAGGGCAAGGAGTATGTTGAGGCAAGGGGCTCAGAGTTTGAGCCTAGTCATAGTGACTGAGTGAGACCCTGTCTCGAATATAAATGGTGAGAATGTAGCTCATCAGAGGATGTGGCTTCAGTCCCCAATACGGAAACAAAACTCAATCCAGCCTTTGTATGTTCACTGAATACTTCAGTGTTCAGTATCATTTTGCCTGCCATTCTCCAGGAAGGTGATCTTACATTTTACCTTTCCAGAGATAAACCTCTAAGTTGTTTTTATTTTTATTTTTTTTGTCCAGTGAATCTCTAGCCATCAGGAGTAGAGGAGGAGATCTGAGAACCTGACTGCTCCTTGAACAGACTTTCTGCTAATTCTTTTTAGTTTATTGCCCCTTTTCCACTTCCAAGCCTTTCTGGAATCTCTTACCCTATGAGGATCTGCAGTGTAAAATAGGCTGCTTCTCAGCTCCTGGTGCTGCCTTAGGATCCAATGCTTTACTCTTTCCTCTCTTCCATTCCGTCAGTTCTTTCAGGTTAGCAGCTTCTGAGAAAGCCCTCTTACTCTCACATGAATGGCGTTTCATGAAAGAATAAAGTCAGATGGGTGTGTGTTTAGCCTGCCATTCTGGAGTATGTCTGTCTCTCTCTCTTACTTTCTTTTTTCCTTTCTTCCTTCTTCCTTTCCTTTTTCTCTTAGAAAATTAGTAGAGGGTCAAATCTTAAACTCTGGACTACTACAAAGACTTGAACTTGAACTTGAACTTGGAATGCAGAGGGCTGCTGAGTATAGCCTGCAGTGGACCAAGAGCAGACTCCAGAGAGCTAGTTAGAAGATCACAGAAGTAAATCAGGAGAGATCATGGACCAGGCTCATAGCAGCAGAGGTCTGTGTGGAAACATTTTGAAGCTGGAAAGTACTGTGCAAAGGTCAGGTAGTTCTTGCTATTGCAAGAAACATCTCTAGCATAGGGGACAGCTTAGTGCGGTGGAAATACATTAAAGACAGGGGGTTAGATGTGCAAATGACAACGTGAGCAGATGTAAACACAAAACTTGGTGGAAAAATAGCAAGTGGAATGGAATATGCAACATATAAGGAAATAAAAAAATCAGTACCCAGAGAATGAGAACACATTTTGAGATAAGACACTGAAATACCTAAACTCATATTAAACACGTTAAAAAGTCTTCCTGTGGGGAGGAGAGTATACAGTGACATACAGGAGACATATGTCATTTATTTATTTTCCTTTCTCCTGTATGTCATGGCATACAGGAGAAAGGAAAATAAATAAATGACACAACAAACATGACAGAAGGAGAGTGGGCCTTAGCATCTGGAGAGAAGGAGGTTCAGTCTTAGGTACGAAGCTTTGTCTAGTTCCCACCTGTGTAATTAAGGTAGTAGTTATTTCTTTCCTTTACTTGCCACGAGAGTTGAGACAGTGTATGCAGGTGCCACAGAGTGGTCTGAATGCCTGGGAGACACTTTTTTCCCTGCCGCCCCTCAGCAGCGTTAGGTATGGAAGGATGATTCTTGCTTTAAGGGAAAGTGCACCCTGGTTCTACTGCGAAGCTGAAACGTGGGGATTGTGCTTGCTTGTGGTATGTGTTATATTATTCTTTTCCTTTTTCTCACTGCAGGGCTTACCACCCAAGAGATGGAAGGCAGAAGGGACCCACCTGAGCTGCCCAGAACCCACCCTGTTTGCCTACTCGTCGGCTTCCCATTGCCCTCATTGCCTGCCAGCACCTCGTAGGAACTCTCTGCGAGAGATGTGGATTCTAAGCTTCCAGCAATCCAAAAAAGAAGCCCAGGCGCTGAGGTGGCTGGTTGATAGGAATCGGAATTTTTCAACTCAGGAGTTCTGGGCCCTTGTTTTCAAAGACTAATTTCAAAATGGAGTCGCGTGTCATAGACTAGATAGGGTTTATTTTCTAGGTTGCCTTAATATTTGAAAATAATAGCCATTTTGTTGACTATACTCAAGGATGAGAAATAATTGCTGCAGTTTTCATGATGAGCCTTATCAATTAATAGATAGGAATTATCCTTACAAGTTGCCTCTGTATTTTTTACACTAAAAAGTAGACATCTTTTATGGACATAAGTCAGGTCCAGTTCCCATGTATAGGCTCACATACCCGCTGCCTCTTGTGTAAGTTCACCTAATGTACAGTGGCGGTTTCCCTTGCTGCAATGGAACTAGAAGATCTAGCTGGGGGTTTTTAGCGCTCATCTCACTATCAGCAGTGGTCTGTTTGGCAAGCCCAGAGTCTCAGTGCCGAGCATTAGAACTTGGCAATGAGAGAGTCCATCTGTTTGCTTCCAAGGATGTCAGTAAGAAAAGCTGCGTCAAGCTTATCTGCTCTCTACTCTTTAGCAATAATAGTAATAATACCTGACAAGCCAAAAAAGCATAGGCACGTCTGCCTTTTCGATAACTCTGTACCTTTTTTATATTCACCTTGCCCGTTAACCTGCTCCTATTTCTACTCCAAATTGGGAGGTGTGTAGAGAGGTAGCTCCTCTGTGTGTTGTGTTGTGCTGTTTTGTGTTTGGAGACAGAGTCTCACCGGATAGCCTAAGCTGGCCTTGAACTTGCAGTCCCCCTGCCTCCGCCTCCTGAGTGCTGGATCTGCAGGCAGGTATTATCATCCCTGGCCTCCTTGTGTGTTTTGATCAGTGAAATGTGAAATATTGTAGATTGTTCCTTATGTTGATGAATAATAGTGATAGTCAGTTTATAGATTTTAATCAGTGTAAGAGGGCAAATGAATATCTCCAGGCCGTTTTGTTACATTAATTTGTCTGTAGGATGATATGCAGCCCATCATGATGGGCTGCCCAAAGATTTCACTTTGTGAGCAGTTCTTCTTTCTGATCCTGTCATAGAGAAGGTTCAGCTGTCTTGTTTGGGGCATCTACTGGAGGTCCACACAAGACAAGAACAAACAATGCTGGCTCATATTTTCCTTTCATGACTTCTCTGTGACACTACAACCTGTTGCTACCTAATGAGTCACAACTGTATTCTGTACTGTGGAGAGGCACAGGCCATAGAGGGCACCAGGGGACATGGCATAAGGGGAAATTGCAGGATGCGCTCTGGATTCCAGCTACCCTTAATTGCCAGTCAGTGCTTCTGTCATACGTGCCAGGAGCAGTGTCTTCACTGTGTGACCTTCACTCTGGCCGTGGCAGCCAAGTGTGAGAAATGAGAGCCAATCCTGCCTATCCCTTGGGAGCAAGAAGGGCCATGTTGCTGGTATCTGTGATTCGGTTCCTCCTAATCCCAGATTTAATTAAATGTGGTCTTGGACAAATGTTTTTACCACTCTGGGCCTTGGTTTTTTGCATCTAAAACAAAATGATAGGGCTGGATTTTTATATTGTTTCTTGTGTAATGTTCTTCAATTTTTTATCAAAATTTAAGATGTTTAATATAGGTTGTTAAAGACTATAACAGACTATTTCAGAGCAACTATATCAAGGGAAGTGTGCTCTTCCTTGGAGGAAGGGGTGTACCTACTGGGTAGTATTGGAGATGGAGGGGCTTATTTCTCTGCCACTTAACCTGATGTAATAAAAGTGGAAAAGCTTAGAAAGGGAGATTATTTGTTAAAGACCAAGTTTTAAATTGTATTCTAAATGAAGTGGACCACTTTCTGCACATGAAAAGAGAGCCCATGAGATGATTTTGGCCTATGACAAGATCAAACAGTAGCTTCAATGCTTTTGTGTAAACGTCTTAAAAAGAAGCCATGGTGTATATACAACACATATGTCTTATATCTCCATCTTTCATGCATCTTGTTTCATCCTGGCTCCTTATCAAGAGGTCATAGGTAAAAATTTCCCCAAACTTTTTGAAGCATAAACCCATAAACAAATTTAGTGAAACATAATTGTCGATTGTTTAATAGAGATAAAAACTTTGTAGGGAAAGAGAATGAAAAAGAAGGTGTTCGGCGGACTTTAAAGTAGTTGTATGTTAAAGAAAGGAAATTAAAGGTTCTTTGGGATTCTGAGTACCCAGGGCTTTCATTGGTGAGATGATGCCTTCTTGTCTCTGATGACTGCTGTTAGAAGTGTGTCCTCCTGTTGGCAGGATTCTTATTGGCAACTAAGCTGTGCTTTTTGAATGCTTTAGTATGTTTTGTGTGGTCTGTTGGCCCCATCATAGTATGTCTTTTTCTTTGCCTTTCTGTCTCTATTTGTGAAATATGATTAAGACAGTGACCTGCCTCACAGGGCTCTCGTGAAGAATGACCAGAGTATGAACACCTCTGTATAGTGTGCCATTTTGTTTGGTGTTACATTCACTTGAATTGTTCTCAAGGATAAATTTTCTTTTTTTTGGGGGGGGGTCTTTTTCCTTTTTTATCGGTACCGGGGATCGAACTCATGACTGCCTGCTTGCAAGGCAGGCGTTTATGCCGCTGAGTTAAATCCCCAGCCCTAAGGATAAATTTTCAAAGCAATGTGACAGGGTAGACAGAAATGGTTACAAATTTATTGGAGAAAATGATTATTAATGCTAATCAATAGTCTCTATTTCAACTGAAAATGGAGGTAACTTTGACTTTTGACTATGTAACAAATCTAATTATTTCAGAACCTCAATACTGTCATATTTTTTACTATTAAGGGCTAATTTCTAGTAAGTAGAACATCAGATGGGGCATTCTCATTAGAAATGAATTGGATGCAAATCATATACTGTGTGCTATTCAGAAAAAAAGCCACGAACAAAAATGAGCATCATCCTCTCAGTCTACCTTGCATGTTACACATAAGAGAACCAGATCAATATTTGTAGATCATTTTATGAAACCAAACAAGTACAGACCTGAGCTTGAAATGCTTAGTGTAATATGCATTTAAAAAATCGTTAGCAAAGCATAAGTCCTGCAAAGGATGACAATTCATGGGAAAAATCCCATTGTCTTATTCTGTGTAGGCGGTGGTAACAGAATACCATGAATCAAGCTACTTACAAAGTGCAGAAACTTGTTTCTCGCAGTTCAGGGATCTGGCAAGTCCAGGACAGAGGTGTCTTCAGATTTGGTGTCTGATGAAGACCTGCTCTCTGCTTCATATATGAATATCTTCATGCTGTGTCATCACTTAGTGGAAGGATGGGAGCTTTCTGGGGTCTCTTCTAAGGGCCCTAATCCTATTCACAAGGACTCTACTTTCATGACCCACTTACTCTTGAAAGATTTCACCTCCTAATCCCATTAGGATTTTAACGTTAATTTGAGGATCAAAAGAATTACATTCTGCCCTTCAGTCTTCCAAAGTCGTTTTCCTTCTCACATGCAAAATATATTTATACATCCAGACAGCCTCAAACATGTTAAATAGTTCCAGCATCAACTGAAAAGTCTGAGATCCAAAGTCTCATGTAAATACCATCTAAATCAGATAGGAGTGAGTTCAAGATGTGTTTTATCTGGAGATAGGCTATGAAGCCAAGTATGTTCTATATATCCTAAATATTATGGTGGGATAGGCATAAGATTGATATATCCATTCTAGAAGGGAGATATGGGAAAGAAGAAAATGTCCTGGTAAGTCCACATCATCATCTTTCTTGGCTTTCAGCATTCTCCCTTTCAGGAGCAATAGAATGGAAGCATCAGATCCAGGCTTGGTGAGACAGTTCCATGGTAGCTCTGCATGGATATCCCTTCCCTGTGCTGTAGTTCTCCCTGATTGGGACTGTTCACCCTTGGCTGCAGTCCTTTGAAGCCTAGGAGGAGGTAGATGTGTTCTCCAGTCCTGCGTTGTCTGTGTACTGGTGGACACTGCAGGAACCTCGAGGAAGATTCCTTCCTGCTCCCTCTGGAGTGGCCTATACTGCTCCAGGGTGACTGGTGCTGCACTGGAGCGGCTGAGGATCATGGGGCACAGTAGGTGGAGTGAAGCCTTTGATGCGAGGTGGTACCAGGTAGCATGGGGCCACATCCAGCAGATGCCAGTGGTTCACTTCTTTGAAACTGTTCAACTCCCTTCTCCTTTTTGTGCTCTAGATGCGTGATGGGTGTAGCAGTTATGATATTCTCTTAGTCACTTTCAGAGTCATTCTTTCCTTGTTTTGGAGAATAGCTCCTGGCTTCCTTTGAGATGGATGGTCCATACTAGCCTCCATTATCAAAAGCTGGGCACACCCTTAGTGTTCTCATTTTTTTTCACTATGCAGTAGGCAGAGAACTTTCTAAATGTTTTGTACTTAAGAATTCTGTCTTTAAGTTACTTCTGTCTTTTTGAGTTATCAGTAGTCAAGAGAAACCAAAACCTTTTTGAATAAGCAATACCTTGCTTAGAAATAGCTTCAGCTAAATATTCAGTTTCATTACTTACAATTTCTACCTCCCATAAAACCATAGCACACAAACATGATTCAACCAAGTTCTTTGTCACTTTATAATAGAACCAGTTTCCAATAACATATTCTGCATTGTTACATGACAGTTCATCAGAGGGGCTTAATGTTCCTAGAAATCTTCTATTTAGGATTACTGCAGTGTTATGGTTTAGATCTAAAATGTCCCCCAAAGTCTGATGTGTTCAGAGATGGGACTTTTGAAAGATAGTTGGATCATGGGAGTGATATACTGACCAGTTAATTCACTGATGAGTTCATAACTTATGTGCTGGGAGGTGGAGTCTGGTTGGAGAGGTGGTTACTGGAGGTGTGACCTGGAAGGGCATATTCTTGCCCCAGGCCTTCCCTCCTTTCTGTTCCTGGCTTATTTTTTCTGCCATGCTTTTTCCACCATGCCATTCTGCCTTGCAGTCAGCCAGCCTGAATTCCTCCCAAACTGTGAGCTAAAGTAAATCTCTTCTCCTTTAGTTTGCCGATATCAGGTGTTTTGTACCAGCAGTGGGGAAGTATCTAATATTGAGGTGTTCTCTAAGAAAATTGAAGCTTTCTCTATGGCTCTCATGTTTTCTTTCTGAGTCCTCATCAGAATTACCCTTAACTACTTGTTATGTTTGTGTCTAGATGTCCCCCGCAAAGCCTCGTGTGTTAATAGGTAGACTTTTTCAGAGATGGCTAGATCTAGAGTATGTGATACTAGGATTGAGTCATGGTGCAAAGCTAGGATCAAGGACATTAGGGTTAAGGCTATGAGTTCTATCCTCCCTTAAGTAGTCTAGAAAAGATATTGTCCCCCTTGCTTGCTTTGCTGCCTTCTGCCCACCATGAACTGTTTTTCCTCTGCGATGCTTGTCCCCATTGCTATCCTTTCTTGGAGCCAGCCAGTTGGACTGATACCTCTATAAACTAGAGCTAAATAAATTTTTTCTCCTTTAACTTTGGGTATCAGGTATTTTTTGTCAGCAATGAGAAAAGTAATTAAGATAGAGAAGTGGGGCTGTTGCTGTGACTGTACTTGATCATGTGCTTCCGGAACTTTTGGAACTGACTTGTGCAAAGGGTTTGGAAAGGTTCAGAGATGTCCACTGGAAAAGGTAACACTGCAGTGCGTTAGGCTGTACTTGATGGAAGATTCTTGTCAGAGCTCAGAAGACCAGAATGCTGATAGAAATCCTGCTGGTAAAGACCAAGCTCTGGAGGTTTCTGCTGGGGAGAAGGACTGCATTGGCTGGTAGACTCCAGACAATTTGTGTGTGATGTGGCAGAAGTTTTCATTTTGCTCATGTACAGAGACTGCCTGAGACTAACGGTGGCAGTCTAATTAATCTGGTAGAAGAAATCTCAAAGCAGTCTAATGTTGAGGCAATAGCATAGTTACTGTTGGGAACATTTTAGTCAGACTTAGGTTGAGAATTAAAAGCAAAAAAATAGCAGAATGATTAAAAATGTAAGTTTGGCCAGAAAGGAAGCTCCAGCAAAATTGTGGTGTGCAAAAAATGAAACAGAAGAAATTGGTCACTAAAAAGACTAGCAAGAAAAACCAGAAGAAGAAGTCGTCCAGAAGAAGACAACAGAAAAGATGAGCAAGGACACTGAAGAACCAATAGGACTCCAACCTTTGCAGCCTCAGAGTTGCAAAGATGGAAGACTTTGCTTTGAGAAGAGACCCCAGAGCACCATGTTCCATAATAACAGCAGCCTAAGAAAATTGTTCCTTGGGATTGGGTTTATAGGCATGCAACTTCTCCAGCCAAAGGGAAGGAAGCCTGGTTATTGCTCCAGCTGGCAGCAGATTTTGGCACCACCCACATAGTGCTGGCTTCAGGCACATGCAGAATGCAAGAGTTTTGGGGTCATGCAGGCTTCCACCCAGATTTCAAAAGAAGGTCTGGGAAAATAGCCAGTGTGCTCCTGAGAGCATAGTATATGAAGCTGTGAGTGTGAACCTGAAGGTGTTGTGGAAATCCCAAAAGTTTGGAGAAACCAGGAATGTGGATCATCTGAGGAAAACTGCAAGGAGAGAGCAGAGCATGCCCTAGAGAGAAATGATAGGAGCTAAAATCACCAGCAGCACTGTAGGGAAGAGCCACCCAAGCCCTTTGGAGTTCATATCTTGCCAAAGATTGTTGGAGATACTGGATATGGAACTACAAGATTTAATGTTTGTCATGTTGGGTTTTGAACTTACTTTGGTCCCAATCCCATTTGTATCCCTTATTTGTACCTTTTGGAATGCAAATGTCTATCTTGTGCCATAGAATGTTGGAAGTATTTAATTTTCTCTTCATTTGTACAGAGATTCACAGCTAGGAGTGCCTTAAATCTATGATGAGACTTTTGAAGTTGGACTTTGCAGGAATTCTGAAACTATTAGGACTTTGGCAATTCTTGCAATTGGACTAAATGCCTTCTGCGTAAAGGAATATGCATGAGTCTTTGGGGAACCAGAAGCTGAATGTTATGATTTGTGTCTAGATATCCCCCCTCCAAAGCCTCACGTTTTGGTAAGTGGGGCTTTATCAGAGGTGGCTGGATCTACAATGTAAGATGCTAGGATGGATTCATGGTGCATTGCTAGGATCAAGGGCACTAGGATTAAGAGTATGAATGTTACGTGCTCTAGGTAGTCTGGATAAGATAAAAATATAGAAAGAGCTATACTTGTCCCCCCTGGCTTGCTTTGTTACCTTCTGCCCACCATGAACTCTTTCTATGATACCTTGCCTTGGAGCTAACCAATTAGGGACTGAAACTTGTATAAACTGTGAGTCAAATAAACCTTTCCTTCCTTAACTTTGGTGTTGAGTGTTTTGTCTCAGCAACCATAAAAGGAACTAAGAACTATTCATGGTAATGTAGGCTTTTCCTAGAAAGTACGTCCAAACCATCTAAAGTGTGTTCTTTGTCTGATTCCATAGACACATCTATATTTTAAAGTATGTATTTTATAGCAGCACACAACTCATGATACCAATTTCTGGCTAGTCTATTTCTGGCTAGGTTGCTACAATAGAGTGCAATACATTTGCTGAATTATAAACAACAAAAATTTATTTTTCACAGTTCTGGAAGCTGAGAAATACAAAGTCAAGGCCCTGACATATTGGTATCTTGTGAGAACCTACTTTCTGGTTCATAAGTGGCTATCTTCATGCTGTGTATTTACCCAGTAGAATGGATGAGGGAAAACTGAGGTTTCTTATAAGGGCCACTAGTCACATTTGTGAGAGCCCCACACTCATGACTTCACCTCCCAAAGGCCTTATTTTTAATGCTATCATATTGAATATGACTTTCTACCTTCTAATTTGGGGGAAGGGCCACAAACATTGACTCTAGAGCACTAATATAGAGTTGGTTTTCAGTGAATAATGTCGATTACCTTAAGTCAGGGTGAACCCAGCTCTGCAGAAGTTACATATACCTTTCTTGGGTTCTTCAAAGTATTCAGTGTGGAAGTATACAGATTACAAATAAGGCTGATTAATTTATGTCTCAGGTAAATTTGCAACCTTGAATATTGTATAAAAAGTGCCCTTGAATATTCTATAAAAATTTGGAAAATTTTCCTTTCTTTTAAATTTTCCTATTGTAAGTTTATATTACCTTTACAGTACAATTCTGTTAACATAGTATCTTACATTTTTTGATTACAGAATCTTAAAAATATGTCAGAAACTCACAGGAAAGATAGAATTATGAATTATGACTTGAGAGTAAGAGAGACCTATTCTTAGTCACCATTCTGCCGTGTACTGTCTGTATTATCCTTCTCCACTTCTTTGGCCTTTCTAAGCTTTATTTTCTCATCTATAAAATGAGTATCCTCATGTCTACTATAATATTCAACCCCTGTGAGGAATTATTAACTAAATAGATTAATGTTGATACTTGGCTCAGTAAATGCTGGCAGTAGTGGGTACAGGTGTCTGTAGCTACTGCCTTTTTGTTTTTGAAAGCCTTGTTGAAAATTTGTCCAGAAAAGAGGAATGATTAATGATATCAGGAATGATACCCTTCTGTTCTTTATTAGTTATTTGATACATATTGTTGAGTGCTATGCAGTAGGTATTGTGCTAGGCACCAGAGCCAACATGAATGAGATATGAGAGCGAAGGTGTGAAGGGTTCTGGGCAAGGTTTTGGGTTTGATGATGTGATTAAAACCAGAAACTTAAGAATGCACAGATGATTCCTCAACTCTGTCCTTCATAGAATTTCTCAAGGAGTTTACACACAGCTCCCAATCGCATAATGACGATGCTATAACAACCTCTTCATGGTAACTGTGCAAACCTGAATGAAACCCATGCAGTCATCTCTGTAAAAGCTTGATTTGAGCACAAGGTTCAGACTGGAAGGGAAGGAGGATCTTTTGCCATTTTGCATTTCCCAGTTCTGATTCTTTGGACTGCTCAATGTGCTACCCCAAGAGACAGGAGGGAAGAATGACTAGAACTGGAACTTTTGACCCCGCTTCCTAATTATGTAAAGATAAGAGGAGGAAGAAGGGAAACCTGATCAGGGCTTCTCTGAGGGGGAAACCCTGTCCTGCTGCGAGACTATAGAGTAGAGTGAGGCAGCTAGCTTTTAAGTCCTAACGACCTATTCTATGGCTGTGAAATGTGTTCCCATTAATTTCCTAGGCTCCAACCTCCCAAATTCACAACTGTGGTGATGTTGGTGATAGGGCTTGTTAAGGAGATGTGGAAAAGACTGAGGTGTGCAATGGCATGACTAATGCTCTAGGATTTTTATCTACTCAACACATTGGGCCCAACAGGCAGACCAGTGGTCGATCAGAGGTGCAGCTGTATGCTGCAGACAACTCACCAGGCGTGAGCAGCAACAGATCTTTCATCTCCTGGGGCCTTTTCCTGATTATCTTTTCGTGATTATTGCTGAAGCTTCTCAAGCGAGTCAGAATTGGACATTGATTAATGCCTCCAAGGCATTTTGAGCATTAAGCTACAAATTGGTTCCTTATTTATCATGCAGAATGTGACCACATCACTGCACTTACTCCCCAGAGGGGACTGTATGACCACCCCAGATAGACTACAGATAGTTGAGGTTTTACTATCACGAATACCTTAATTTTGAGAAAAAGAAATTTAAAGACTATCAGGGTAAGGATGGGATTTTAAGGCAGAGCCTTTATCCCAGGGGCTTTTGGAGTCAGCCTAATACATTTCTTCTCTGTACACAGCATGAACTCATTTGATAAGTCTACTTATAGGGGGAAAATACAATTTCATGTAAAAATGTCTTTGTGAAACAATAAAAATGATTAATTTTCTTAAATCCTGACGTTTGTATCTTTTTCAGTCTGTGTGATAAGACAGGTGGTATTATACCCAAAACATTTCTATGCTACGCCAAAATATGCAGAGCTCTTGAGGGAAAATCTTTGTATGATTGTTGTGGGCTGAACTAGTCATGTTTTGCATGGAACATTATTTTTACTTAGAAGAACATCTGGCAAATGATGCTTGTCCAGTCGTGGATTTTTATCAGTAATTTTCACAAAAACAAAATCAGCCTGTCACTTTAAAAGATTCACAGAATTTGTCTCCAATGAAAATCAGAATTTTGGAAAACAATTATTTTGAGCCTGACAACCTCCTAATACTTAGATTTTCCTGATGAGCTTGGTAGTAACATTAAAAGATGCTATTTTTTGATACTGAATAAAAGCAGTGAAGACTAATTGTTCTATGTTTGTTTGTTTTTGTATATCTAAGAAAGGAGGAAAGAGTATTATATACTGGAAAGAGAATTTTGACAATGCTAATATGTATTTTTTTTTAGTTGAAAAGTTCCATCACTGAAGGCTTTTAAACACTGTTAATATTGGTTACTTGAAAATGGGTAAAGGAAGTGATCATCGAACTATCAACATGGAAAAGAAATATTTTAGTTTTTTTAAGGCAGAAAACAAAAAAAAATATGACTTTAGGAATAAGAACATTTTAAAAATACATGTGTATAAAGAAACTGATCATTGTTTTGAGTCAAGCAACCTAGAACTGATAAATATTTTAAAATATTTTTATTGTGTGCCAGAAATTTTCATGGGCTACAAGAATACAAGCAGTGAATATAATGGATAAAACCCCTGTTTCCAAAGAGTTTCTAATTCTACTAGGAGATGAAAATCAAAATGCTTTAGCACAATGTAAAGCACGTCATGAAAGCCTTTATTGCTTTCTTTTGTAACTCCCATGAGATACAATTTGCCTTCTCTCTTCTGCTCCGTCTGAACTGTGTAACATGATATAAATGGATTATATTTATAGAGTGTGTGAAATGGTCTATATTAATAACAAGATGTGTTATAAGTATTAAAAGTTCAAATCTGAAGTGGGCTGGCAAATGTAGAAGTGAATCCTTTTTCTGTTCTTCTCATTCCGACCTGAGTGTTTATTCCCGTTGTCCAGGAGAAGGACATTTCTTCTCTCCACACTGGGCGATTTCTCAGGAGAGTAAGAATTCTTTCTTGGGGAAGGGAAATAATCAGGGGGAGCCCAGTAGTACAAACAGTTCTGTTCTGTTTACCTAAGTAAGGGGGCTGGAGTGAGCTGGCGTGTACTAAGCCACAGGGCCTCAAAACGAGAAGAGTTTCGTCTTACGAGCTGTATTCAGTCACTGTCTATATAGTTCATGCACCATCAGTAGGAGAAGTCATTTGCCATTGAAATAAATCTACTGGGGAGAGAATGTGGGTCACTTAGGTGAGCACCTATAAGTGTTCGGGTATATCAAAGGTCTAAACTTCCTGCTTAAGTATGCGGTTGCCCTGGAAGGGAGCAGCAGAAACCGTGAATTGAAGTATGCCCTCTATAACCCCCCTACCCCCCACAGCTGTGTGTTTCTCTTATTTAGTGATTGAATGTCATACTGGAGGTTGAACCTAGGGCTTCACACATTCTAAGCAAGGTTTGACCTCTTGGCTATGCCCCTCGCCTTTATTTTTTGAATTATTGAGACAAACTCCTGCCAAATTTCCCAAATTGGCCTCAAATTTATCATCTTCCTGCCTCAGCCTCTTAGGTAGGTGGGAATAGAGGCTAGCAATGCTGTGCCAGCTGTTTTGTTTATTTTTGCATGAACTCTAAGGGATATTGTTGGAAACTCATTTTGGTAATTATTGTTAGGAAAAATGAAGCTCTCTGTGCTCTCTAGCAGGCTATGTTTTGACTGTGATAATAGGGTGCTCTTACAGCCTATCTTCTGAATTGGGATATCTCAAGAGTGAATGGGGTTGCTGTTGATAGACTGGGGATGAAGCATCGCGGACTTTGGGGGGTGTCAGGATCACCGAGTATGTTGGAATCACTGTTCAGAAACAGGCTGTGAGGGTGGGGTGGTTGGATAAGGAAAAGCTAATGGATGTTTCATGAGGGTGTGGTTGTAGTCATCTATAATGACACTTAAATGTCACAGTTACCATGGAAGGTACATAGTTTTTGCTTATCCTTGAATTTATAATACAAAGCAAAATTCTATTGTGGTGTGGTGAAATCTGAACTTTCTGGGTTGTTTTGAGTATCTCCTCTTTTTAGTGGTAGAGAGCCCATATGTCCTGGATGGAGACACTCTTGCTGTACCAGGAACCTCTTGCATGGTCTCTTCACCTATGGTGACGGGGGTACTGGGGCCCCTCCCTTTCTTGTAGAGGCAGTGAGTAGTTTTGTCCTTAAAAAGGATAGCCCTTTGCCAAACACTATGAACCAAGATGATTAAACAGCATAGATACACAATGTATCCAGTATTATACAACAAATCCAAATC